TGCATTGTTCCTGATCCTAGAGGAAAAGCTTCCAATCTTCACCACAGGGTATGACATGAACTGTGGGCTTTTCATATATGGCCTTCATTATGTTGAAGTATGTTCCTTTTAATGTACTAATTAGTGGATATGACACTGCATAAAATCGACTCAGTGATGTAGCGTACTGGTCCTCAAACTAGATTATACACCCATTCCTGAGGTAACATGAAGACTTCCAAGTATTATGTAAAACTACTGTATACATGTAGTTTTAGTGTATCCATATCTGGATATACAATCCTTTTCAAGAATTATCTACCTGACAACCTGCATGTGATCTAGGTATCTCATGAGTTCTCCTCTCCCACTTTTCCTCTCAACTGTTTTTCTCCCACTATTTTTTAAAATTTTATTTATTTATTTTGAGAGATAGAGAACTTACATGCATATGCACAAGTGGGAAGGGCAGAGAGAGCGAGAGAGCGAGAGAGAGAACCCTAAGCAGGCTCCACATTGCCAGCACAGAGCCCAATGCAGGGCTCGAACTCACAAACTGTGAGATCATGACCCGAGCCAAAACCAAACAGTTGGACACTTAAGTGACTGAACCACCCAGGCACCCTCTCTCCCACTTTTTAAAGCAAAAGGATGCATCTAATATCACACTGTCTCAAAATATGAAAAACTTTTGAAGCATCAGGCAAAAAGATAATCTGAGGGGCGCCTGGGTGGCTCAGTCGGTTAAGCGTCCGACTTCAGCCCGGGTCATGATCTCGCGGTCCGTGAGTTCGAGCCCCACGTCGGGCTCTGGGCTGATGGCTCAGAGCCTGGAGCCTGCTTCAGATTCTGTGTCTCCCTCTCTCTCTGCCCCTCCCCCATTCATGCTCTGTCTCTCTCTGTCTCAAAAATAAATAAATGTTAAGAAAAAAAAAAAAGATAATCTGAAATTTATAAAAGATACATATTTATTAAGATATGTATTAATAAGACATATCTTATTAAGACATGTATTTCCAATAAAATTTTACTTTTTGATTTGGTATGTATTTATCAACATTTGTTTGTATTTGTCACTCTGATCCATTGATTACTGATAATTATAATGATAGCACCATTCGGAGGAAAATGTTAACACTTTGAACCTTGTAGTCAAAGGACACTTTTAAAAATAAAAAATGTCAATAAATAAAATAAAATATTTCAATTCATGTACTTTTTTATTACAGAGATGTTTGATAGGGTGATCACGAAAAGATATTCAAGCATAAATATGTTAAAAGAGGATAAAACTGGAGATTTCAAGAAGAAAGGGTCATTTAGATTCTACTAGCTATATTTAAAAGAACAATGTAACAGTTTTAAGAGATCGGTAGGTTGGAAATTACATCCTTTGTATCTATTTAATCTGTTTATTAATTACTATTTTTCAAGATTTTATTTTTAAGTAATCTCTACATCCAATGTGGGGCTTGAACTCACAACCGTGAGATCAAGAGTTGCATGCTCTTCCACTGCACCAGCCAGCTGCCCCCTTTCGTATTTATTTAAACTTAAAGATGAAAAATGTTAGCTACCAACTTAAAATGTGCAAGGATATACACTGTTCAAAAAATACTTTTAAAGGGTTCATGAGCACAAAATGACATAGAGGACAAACTTCCAAAGCTCACTCACAACAGAGATAAAAGAACAGAGATGAAAATCTTGAAGGAAAAAAGGACAAAGTCTGGAGAGAGCTAGCCTGAGAAAAAGCATGTTTCAGAAACACACCCAAATTTAGACAGCAGAAAAACCTGAATTACAAAACAACCAAACCAAAAGACCCAATCAGGTATCAAAGGGCTTAAGCTCACTATGTTCTGGAAGAATTAAGAAACGCTCCCACAACCTAGACATACCTTTGCTTCCCCAAGTTCTTTATCAGCAGTCTCAAGCACTTCTTCTTTATGTCTTTCCAACTGCTGTGCTAACTGGTCTATTTCGGTTAATTCTTGGCAGAGTTTTTCATTTTTGTTACTTAAATTAACAACTTCAGTAGTTACGGTTTCCTTGGTTTCCATAAGCTCCTGTATATGCTTCTCCAGGTCTTTATTAGCTTGCTGAAGAAAGTCAACCTAAGTTGAATTTGTAATTAACAGGTATATGAATTGGAAAATTATCCTAAATACTTAACTTTCAAAATACTTCAAAATACTCTATTTTTTAAAATACTGAAAATTAAACCAGAGGTATTTTACATTTGCAATCTTACACTGTTGATTCACAAAACTGACAATGTGTGGTTTAACAAAAATATATAGCCATTGGCATTCAACTTTTAAGCATGGAAGGAAAAGTAAAAAATTTGTGTGAACTTTTTCCCAACAGAGAGTTCTACCATTATGACAAGAATATCACTACAATGATAATATCACTCTGGACTGTGCTGTCCAATATAGTAGCCACCAGCACCCATATGTGCATACTGTAGAGCTAGTCCAAACTGAGGTGTGCTATAAATGTAAAACATATGCAAGATTTCAAAGACTTGGTACAAAAAAGAAAAAAAGGAAAATATGTCAACATCAACATTTTACAACAATTACACACTGCAATTATATTTTGGATATACTGAGGTAAATACATTATTAAAATTAATTTCATCTGTTTCTTTTTTATTTTATTTTAATCTGGTTACTAGAAAATTAAAAAAATTTTTTTTAATGTTTATTTTTGAGAGACACACAGACAGAATGCAAGCAGAGGAGGGGCAGAGAGAGAGGGAGACCCAGAATCCGAAGCAGGCTCCAGGCTCTGAGCTGTCAGCACAGAGCCTGACATAGGATTTGAACCCACGGACCATGAGATCATGACCTGAGCTGAAGCTGGATGCTTAAACCAACTGAGCCACCCAGGCGCTCCCAGAAAATTTTAAATTATATATGTGGCTCATATCATATTTGTATTGGACAGCACTGCTCTAGGGCTACTATTGATATTCATGACTTACTATTCTGGTTTTGGTCCAGTCAGCAATGACATGTCTAAATTTCTAAAGGTGATGTAACATGCTTATGGAACTCTCCTGTTCTTTTACTCCTAGGTCAGACACATGGCAAGGGAATCAATTACATGTTTAATTTTTTGGATTTCTTTCTACAAATCTTTTTGATATTATAAAAGAAATACAAAAACTTCGAAAACAAAGAAAATAAAAAAATATCTCATCACACAAAGATAAGCTGTTCGTATATTTTAGTGTATTCTCTTCCAGTGCTTTCTCTAAGTTCATACGCACATTTTTAAAAAGCAAACTGAAGATCCCATTGTGTCTACGGTTTATTCTCCTCCTCTAATTTTTTTTTAATGTTTATTTATTTTGAGAGAATGAGAGAGTGTGCTAGTTGGGGAAGGGCAGAGAGAGAGGGAGAGAGAAAGAATCCCAAGTAGGTTCAAACTTACGAACCATGAGATCATGACCTGAGCTGAAATCAAGAGTCAGATGCTTAACCAACTGAGCCACTCAGGTACCCCTATTCTCCTTTTAAATATTTAACATTATAATGTATATATCTTTCTGCCTCATTAACTATCTTTTTAAAACATGATTTTTCAATAGTTGCATCCTATTTCTGGATAGTTTGGCTCTATCAAATTTTTCCCACTATATAACTGGTAAACAACTCTGTTACTTTTACAAATCAATGAACTGTTACAAACACTTAACGATTGTATATACTTGGTGAAATAATTATAAATGTCATTACCTGAACATTTAAATGAGCAATAAGCTTTTCATTGGTTTTGTTTCTAGTCTCCAGAGAGAGGACATCAGGGGAACGGCCACTGTCCAATGCAACTGATAGTCGTTCTATCTCTCGTTCTCTTAGCTCAATCTGAAGACATAAAATCATGCTATAATTTTAAAAAATTTGCTTTAAACTGAAATAATTAACACTGGACACTTACTTGGATATACTTCCATTTCTCTTATGCTTCACAATGTATATAAGAGATTAACACTCATACATGTATCCACACCAATATGGGATTATAAAATGCATATACACAAAGCAAAAATAAACAGAGAAAAATGTCAAAATAAGAATGTCAACAAAGTTTTCGTAAGTATTTCTATTGAATAGATTTTTCCTAATTAATTTTAATTTTTTGGATTCTTCCCCCCCTCCTCCAAGATTAGGCAATATTGATATAAAAAGAAATGATTGAGTACTAGAATGGAGTCTGAGTGACTTCAGTGCCTACTGGAATAAATGTAGAATAAATGAATAAATGTAGAACAGAAAGAATTACTACTGAAACTCAATATTAAAAAGGATAGGAAGTTGGGGTGAATTTAATTATTATTTAGAAAACAACACACACAAAATCACAGAGATCACTATCAACCATGAAATCACACTTACATGCACGAATTTGGAAAAATGGATGTACACATTTGAGGTGTTTTTTCAAAAACACTGAAAGCTAAAACCAAGCACTCAATTCAACAATATTGAGCACAATTCTAGGTATATGAAGATGAATAAAACATGATTTCTAACTTTCAGGAACACAGCTTTACCAAGAAAACTAGCAAGTAAATCAATTATTGCTGTAGTATGTTGTTCAGTGGTAGAATAAATAGATATATGACACCAAAGTGATTAAGGGAATACACCGATTTACTCTCCATGATATACCCATATGCCTATGGAAATTAGTGAAGGCTTTATCAAATACATATGCCCAAAAAGGTTATAAATTATGCTATGAAGAGAAAGAAGAAAGGAGGAATGTTCCAGGCAGTGACACAGAAACATAAAGCAACATGGTATGATTGAAGGAGCAGAAATGGCTCGGTAAGACTGAATATACAAGGGAACTTATGGTTGGGTCTGAAGAATCAGTCAGGAACTAATTATGATTAAGTACTGAATACTTTGCTAAGGAGAAAGATTGCTCTGCACTAAAAGATGAGTAAGAATAAAATCAGAGGTAGGGAGACCTACTGGAGGAATGAATGAGAGATGAATAAGGTATAAAATAGAACAGTGAGATGAGCAGAAGAAGTAAGTTTACAAAGTACATAGAAGTGACAGAATTTGGTGAGTGGTATGTGAAGGGAAGAGAAGGAGATCTAGAAAGACTACAGAATGTTGGCTTGGGCAGATGGTGATGCCACCAACGAACATAGAGAATATAGGGGAAAAAAAACAAGAGTTGAGGCAGAAGATAACAAGTTCAGTACCAGACATATGGTACAAACAGCTTTCATCCAAGTGGAAATGCCCAGTATAAAATTGAACATACGGGTCTGGACCTCTGCAGAGATTTGAGCCAGAAAGACTGGGAAGTCATCAATATACAGAGAATATTTTAAGAGAGTAAATGAGACCTTCTGAGAAAATATACAGGGAAAGGAGTCAAAGACAGAATCCTGAAAAACAGTAATATTTCAGGGAAAGGGCAGAAAGAAAAAGCAAAGAAGAAATTATAAGAGATTTTTAAAAAAGGGGAAACTGAAAGAAAATGAGTCATGGGATGGTTTCAAAGAGAAATTATCAATAATGCCAAATACTATAAAGGGGTCAAGGAAATGGAGACTAAAAGTATCCTTTTGGATCTAGCAATTAACGTCACTGATGTCATTACTAAACCCATTTATGTAATGGGAAGCAGAAGCCAGAAGGCAACAGGAGAGCCAGAGGTGAAGAAGTGGAGACAGAAGAGTAAGATACTCTTTAGAGAAGTTTACATGAGGGAGGAGAGAGCATTAGCAAGAGGGGCATTAACAAGAGGGGCTTTAGCAAGAATTAAATAAAGGAGATCTTTTTTCAAAAATTTTTATTATTATTAATGTTTAAGTTATTTATTTTGAGGGACAGAAAGAGCATGAGTGGGCAGGGGCAGAGAGAGAGAGGGAGAAACAGAATCCCAAGCAGGCTCTGCACTGCTAGTGCAGAGCCCAATGTGGAGCTCAAACTCACAAACCAGGAGATCATGACCTTAGTCAAAATCAAGAGTTGGACACTTAACCAACTGAGCCACTCAGGCACCTCTAAAAGAGATCTTTTTAGCAATCAGACAACAAAAGGAAATCAAAGGCATCAAAATTGGCAAAGATGAAGTCAAGCTTTCGCTTTTTGCAGATGACATGATATTATACATGGAAAATCCGACAGACTCCACCAAAAGTCTGCTAGAACTGATCCATGAATTCAGCAAAGTTGCAGGATACAAAATCAATGTACAGAAATCAGTTGCATTCTTATACACTAACAATGAAGCAACAGAAAGACAAATAAGGAAACTGATCCCATTCACAATTGCACCAAGAAGCATAAAATACCTAGGAATAAATCTAACCAAAGATGTAAAGGATCTGTATGCTGAAAACTATAGAAAGCTTATGAAAGAAATTGAAGAAGATTTAAAGAAATGGAAAGACATTCCCTGCTCATGGATTGGAAGAATAAATATTGTCAAAATGTCAATACTACCCAAAGCTATCTACACATTCAATGCAATCCCAATCAAAATTGCACCAGCATTCTTCTCGAAACTAGAACAAGCAATCCTAAAATTCATATGGAACCACAAAAGGCCCCGAATAGCCAAAGTAATTTTGAAGAAGAAGACCAAAGCAGGAGGCATCACAATCCCAGACTTTAGCCTCTACTACAAAGCTGTCATCATCAAGACAGCATGGTATTGGCACAAAAACAGACACATAGACCAATGGAATAGAATAGAAACCCCAGAACTAGACCCACAAACGTATGGCCAACTCATCTTTGACAAAGCAGGAAAGAACATCCAATGGAAAAAAGACAGTCTCTTTAACAAATGGTGCTGGGAGAACTGGACAGCAACATGCAGAAGGTTGAAACTAGACCACTTTCTCACACCATTCACAAAAATAAACTCAAAATGGATAAAGGACCTGAATGTGAGACAGGAAACCATCAAAACCCTAGAGGAGAAAGCAGGAAAAGACCTCTCTGACCTCAGCCGTAGCAATCTCTTACTCGACACATCCCCAAAGGCAAGGGAATTAAAAGCAAAAGTGAATTACTGGGACCTTATGAAGATAAAAAGCTTCTGCACAGCAAAGGAAACAACCAACAAAACTAAAAGGCAACCAACGGAATGGGAAAAGATAGTTGCAAATGACATATCGGACAAAGGGCTAGTATCCAAAATCTATAAAGAGCTCACCAAACTCCACACCCGAAAAGCAAATAACCCAGTGAAGAAATGGGCAGAAAACATGAATAGACACTTCTCTAAAGAAGACATCTGGATGGTCAACAGGCACATGAAAAGATGTTCAGCGTCGCTCCTTATCAGGGAAATACAAATCAAAACCACACTCAGGTATCACCTCACGCCAGTCAGAGTGGCCAAAATGAACAAATCAGGAGACTCTAGATGCTGGCGAGGATGTGGAGAAACCGGAACCCTCTTGCACTGTTGGTGGGAATGCAAATTGGTGCAGCCGCTCTGGAAAGCAGTGTGGAGGTTCCTCAGAAAATTAAAAATAGACCTACCCTATGACCCAGCAATAGCACTGCTAGGAATTTATCCAAGGGACACAGGAGTACTGATGCATAGGGGCACTTGTACCCCAATGTTCATAGCAGCACTCTCAACAATAACCAAATGATGGAAAGAGCCCTAAATGTCCATCCACTGATGAATGGATAAAGAAATTGTGGTTTATATACACAATGGAATACTACGTGGCAATGAGAAAAAATGAAATATGGCCTTTTGTAGCAACGTGGATGGAACTGGAGAGTGTGATGCTAAGTGAAAGAAGCCATACAGAGAAAGACAGATACCATACGGTTTCACTCTTATGTGGATCCTGAGAAACTTAACAG